TCCTCTAAAAGGCCAGAAATTATCTAAATAAAAATAATTTAAAACAACTATACTACTCATTTATTCATAGCTATATAAACTATGCAAATATTGCCTGGGGAAGTACAGGTAAAAGTAAGTTGCAACGTCTTTACCGCCATTAGAAACATGCAATATATTTGTGAATAATATATTTTTTAAATCGTTTTTCAAATACAAAACCTCTATTTAAAGATATGAATGTATTAAATGTTTATGAACTTAACTTGTTCAATATTTTATGTTTTACGTTTTGTTGTATGAATAACCCCTTATTTCATGTTTTTAAAGATCTAGTTACCTTTAAAGTAAAGAATAAATATAGTTTGCGAAATAATAACTATTTAAAAGAACCCTTTTGTCAAACAAAGTTTAATCAATTTTGTATAGATTATCGAGCACCTTATATCTGGAATAAAATTGTACAGCCTAATTTAGATTCATCTATCTCTTTTTCTGTTTTTAAAAACAAGTTAAAGAATATTATTTTTTCTACGGATAATATATTGAAATATTTTTGAGATATTATTTTAACCATTTCTTACTTCAAATGTTTTGGATTCTTATTTTGTTATAAACTACCTGTATTATACTATATTATATTTATATTGTAATTTTTATATGGTTCTGGCGACAAGATCAATATGATCTTCTTCCAGATTCCAAGTTTATATGTTTATATTACATGGAAATCACGACATGTAAATAATGTAAACTGAAAAAAAAAAAAAAAAAAAAAAAAAAAAATTAATTATAACTATTATTATTATAGTTATTTATAATCTAGCAGCCGTGGCGCAATGGTAGCGCACTTGCCTCAGAAACGGTTCAAACCCACCTCTTGGCAAGTTTTGCGACATTGGTTAGAAATAGGCATGAACTTCCAATTAAATGCTCATCCGCTGTGCTCTGTGATAATACCGTAAGGACTTATTGGGGCATCTATATAAAATTAAATTAAAAAAAAATAAAACAATTTAAGATTTAATTTTTTTTTTCATGTGCACTTTTATTTCGGATTTCACATCGTCACTCTTCGCAGACTTCACTCATTGTCATTATAAAAAAATAAAAATAGTAAAAAACAATGGATCGCTTGGCGCCTTTTAAGCTTGGCGCTCGGGTCAATTTGTCCCTTTCTCGAAGGTTCTGATAGATTATAAAATGTAAAAGATAAAATTTTTAATCAAAATTTACAACAAATTATATTATAAATTATATATAACAACTATTAAATTATTTTTTCTGAATTTTACAAAAAGTGAATTCTTCAATAAAGAATCTTTATTTATCTTTCATAAATTTATAGATCTTTTTGTTGTATTTTTATTTCTATAAATTGACATTTTACAATGACACTTTATAATGACACTTTATAATGACATTTTATAACGACATTTTATAACGACATTTTATAATGACATTTTATATAATTTTATTTCTTTAACTGACATTTTAATTTCGATAACTTGAATAAATCGAGTAAAATTACATTTATGACTTTTTGATGAACGCATTTTTGGCAATTAGTATTGTTCAGGAAATTAGCAGCTGAGTAATATTGGTGTTAACTACCATCTTAAAATCGATACTTTTTTGACAATTACCTTGTTAAAACCTTCGTGAACAATATTTTGTTAGTTTTGACTAACTATAGCATTTTAATTTAAATAAATTGTGTTTAAAGAGTTCAAATTTGCTTCATAATGAGTTTTAAATTACGTTGTAAAATGCATGCATTTAGATTAATTTCGTTTTAAACATTCCGTTTTTAAATCAAATGTTTTTGATAGTTAAAAACTTTATTTTACAAAACTTGTTAAACTAAATTTTATCTTTGTAGTTGGAAATAAAATATTGCACGTTGCAATATTTTACTTACCGAATATTTTGTGAGCATCGCACTCGGCGATACTCAAAACAAACAAAACATTAGAAACGCTTCTAAACTGATTTAATTTGCTTTATATATAATTTGACCCAACTATATAAACAAAAGCGTTAAGAAATAACTTAAATGGTATTGATTTATTTAATAAGTGAAACCGATTAATTAGCACAAATTTTTTTATAGACAATTTTCTTTAAGGGCGCCGAAGTGTTTTTGTATTTGTCGAATCTTATATAATCGGCGTCAAAACGTAAATTTTTTTTATAAGATAAATTGCATTTTAATGAGATATTGATTTTTATTCTTTAAGACTCTTAAGACATTAAATATTACTCAATTATTAACGCTAATATGGCATTATTGTATCCTATTTTGTTATGAATAGCAAACAAATTTTAAACTTAAAAATTGCTTAGAAATCATTCTGACAGCGCTTCAAAAAACCAACTTGAAATTTTTAATGCCAAAATCTAAACCTCAGTAAATTAGTCATATTGGAAAAATTTACAATTTTATCTTATGCAGTAAACTTAAAACAATAAAATTTGCAAAAAAACTAAAGTAACACGCGAGAAAAACAATTATTGCGACTATAAGGCTAAAATCTTTACAGCTTGAGTAAAATAAAACTATTGCGACTATGAGGCTAAAATCTTTACAGTTTGAGTAAAATAAAAATTATTGCGACTATGAGACTAAAATCTTTACAGCTTGAGTAAAAAAGAAAATTATTGAAAGTATCGCAAAAATTAACAAATTACTAAGTAATTATATATAAATATTTATTATAAGTTATTTTAAGTATATCTTTTAACCCAAACAATCCTACCGAGTATGATTTCTGGAATATTTTCCAAAACAGCCTTTTTACACAACATATCACATTTCCTACTTTCCAGGCTGATTATGGTTCCTCAAATAATATGTTGGACTTGTTATTTACCTACAACAGTAATTCTATTTTAAACTTGTCTCCTAGTACTATACTAGGTAATAACACTAAGGGTCATTTTAGTATCACTTGGAGATTCTTAGTTTCAGAACTGTTCACCAAAAGTGAATCTCAATCGTTTAATTACAAAAAAGGTGATTACGATTCAATATCTAACTTTATTGCATCAATCGACTGGGAGTTTTTATTTCATCATAAAACTGCAGATCAAATGTTCAATATACTAATTTCTAACTATCGCACTGCTTGCACATACTTTATTCCCAAGATTAATAAAACAAAAAAAAAGTATGACCCTTGGGTTACCTCACATATTAAAAACCTGATCCCAGCAAAAAAAATCCGCTTGGCATATTAACTGCTCTACCAAATGGGAGAATAGTGAGCTTAAAATATAATACAATCGACTTAATCGTTCAGTAAAAGCTGAAATATTTAAAGCAAAAAAAGCACATGAAAAAGAAATAATATCAAAATCCCAAAAAATTAAAGATCGAATTCGCTCTCTCAAAGATACTTCTGGCAGAATTATTGAATCTCTTCCTGATATAGTTGATCTTCTGAACTCTCAATTTGAATCTATGTTTACACTTGAAAGCTCTGAAAATTTTCCTTTGCTAATTAAAAGTGGTATTCATTTATAATGAAAACTTGGATTTCTCTATCCCAGATATTATTCAGGAATTTGCCGATATAAACCCTTATAAATCCTTCGGATTTGACGACCTGCATCCCTTAATACTCAAGATATGTGCCAAAAGCTTTGCAATTCCATTAACAAAAATCTTTCATGAATCCTTTAATTCTGCAGCTTGAGGCATCTTCAATATTGCGAAAGGCTAAAAAGATTAAATCTACCATCACTTGAGTTTCGACGCCTTCGATGCGATTTAATCCAAATTTTTAAATTAGTACATCGTTTTAATATAGTTAATGATAAATATCTACCAAAATATATTAACTCCATGTCTCGTGGTCACCATTCTAAAATAAGGCGTGAGTGTGTTCCAAACTGTCTTCCAAGATATAATCATTTGTATAATAGATCAGCAAAATACTGGAACAAACTACCAGAGCAAATAACTTTGTACTCCACTGTACTTTCCTTCAAAAATAGACTAGACTCCTGGTTGTGGAATAAGTTTGGAACAAATATTTATAAAACTAGTAGTTTATAGTGGGGTGTTTTCTCTGCTCGCTGTATGTGTACATTCTATGTAAATTTACGGCTACAACTATAATAATAATAATAAAAAAAAGTAAAAAATAAATAAATAAAAAAATAAATAATAATAATAAATAAACCGTAACAATTCCATAATGTATGCAACTTTATTTTGCAATTAAAGAAATTAAAGGCTTTCAAAAATATTAAAAAAATAAAACAGTTACTGCCACCAACAACGAAGCAACACACTAGACAAATAATTTATCCAGACATAAGAAAAAGAAAAACTATTTCAATTATGTCTAAATAATACAGACAGTTGTTAAACAAGAACATAAAATCAGGCGTGGCTTAACATATTGAGAAATGGTTTGTACACAGACTCTAAAAAAAAAAAAAAACAATTCAAAACTAGTAAATACATTATTTCTTGGAACTTAGATAGCTTCTTTGGTGGCAATACCCTTAAAAATGGTCTTGATTAAAAATCCTTGATTACCACTCCTATTCCCTGTATTCAAAAAGATTTTAATACTCCATTGTCTAGAGGGAAAGCTGAGTTTTAAAAAAATCAATCATCAAATTTGCTAAATATTAGATAAACTCATGTTTAATTTTGTAATTTAATAAAGCTGGAGACTTTGTTTTCATCTTCCTTTTACGTGAATACCTCCCAACCACATAATTTTTTTTTTTTTTGTATCATTGTCGAAGCAAAAAAAAAAAAAAAATAAGCCCAAAGAATTAAAAGTTATTCAACAAAAAAATCTCGGAAAAAAAGAAACATTTCAAATTTAAAGTCAGTTAATAATTTAATTTTAATCTGCACCAAGAACTTTTATATTATATTTCCAAAGTTTTTTATAATATATTTCCAAAGATTTTTATAATATAATTCAAAAGATTTTAAAATTATTCTTAAAAAATATACAAGGCATTGGAACAAAACAACTCTAATTAAAACAACAACAAAATATGAAAAAATATAAACAAAATATTTACAAATTGTAACTTATTGCATTAAAACACTGATATTTAACATAATTTTCTAGAATCAAGTAAAAATTATTCTAGAATTAGATATACAAAATATCGATGAACAAAAATAAACCTTATTTACAGAAAATAAAATAAATACTTTTTTTAATAAAATACAGGAAATAACAAATAATTAGGAATTATTTACAATGTGTTTTTTATTTGAAAAAAAAAAAAGTGTTTTGGGTTCTCTAAGAACTCGCTTTTGCGCTTGACATTTCATTACATCAATTTCAATTTATCTTTCCAGAAGATAGAATTAAAAGTCGTTGAGTACATAATTCATTATGTTTTTTGGGTAAACGACAGTTGGATGTCAAACTGCTTAAATTTTAAGCAAACGTGCTAATTACTTTAGTCAAAGAACAAACATCTGCTGATTTTTGACGCCTTCCACCCAAACATAAAATTTACAACTACCTTCTGAAAGAACGACGCAGTGATTTAAATTGAGTGTTCAATGTCCCGGCGGTTAGTCATAATTTTTTAGGCCGAAAATGTTTATGAAGGAAAGAGAGAGTATGTCGCACATCAAGAACAACAAACTCATTCAAATTTAAAACCTGTAAAAAATATCATTACCCATCATACAACATTATAATATATCATAACAATACGATAATAATTGTATTATTATCATTAAATTATTATATTGAATTTATGTTAAAAAAAAGTTGATAAAGTTACCGGATCTCTAAAATGTTGGTATTCAAGTAATTCCTCTAGATGTAGATCCATATCCATCACGGCTGGTTGACCAGCAATAGGCGCTTTAAAAAAAAAACTTAATATTCATCAATGATTTCTAACAATTATTTTTAATAAATTAACATTAGTAATAAACAATCTGCATGACATACTAGGTTTTGGGTGCATGAGTACATGGGTATACTTTGGGTGCATGAGTACTTTGTATTTAAGCCAACGCAGCAGGGGTTTTGTTATGTTTTTTTTTTCTTTCGATTTGATATAAAACATGTAATCATCGGTTTGATTTAACATTTTTTTTTATTGATTTGGTCCAGTTTGGATTAATTTTAGTGAAAAAATAAAAAATCTTTTCGGAGATATTTTATTTAATATATTTATATAAAATATTTTCAGAAGCAACACTTAAAAACTAATTTTGATTATCCTAATATTTTCTTTTATAAAACGATTTTCTCAACTTTGTCAAATACTAGTGTAGTTAAATTTAAGAACGTTTAAACAGTTTTTTATTTAAACCAAGAAAAGAAGATGTTGCAATTCCTGAAAAAAACTTTTTAATAAATAATTTTGAATAAACCTTTTGGCATCTTATTTAAAAAAAATTTTCTTTTTTTTGTTGTTGTTGAGTTTTTTGATTAATTTCGGTTTTCTTTTAATTCTATAAATAATTTGTAAATTTTTTACTCTATACAGAATAAATACAGTATATTTGTACATTATAGAGTATAAATACAGAAATTTAATGCTCTAAAACTGTCTGTCCTTAATTTGAATACTATCAAAATAAAAATAATATATAAAAAAATTTATAATAAAAATCAACAAGGTGTTCTGAAGTTTATTTTAAATTTGGAACACTTAGTTAAGAATGCAATATTTAGTTAGGTAAGAGAAGGGTAGAATTAATTTAAAAACAAACTAAAAAAATGAATGTTGTAACTTCTTGAACCATGGAAGAATCAAAGTGAGCAAAATTGTTGGTAAAAAAGAAGTTGTTAAGTAATTTATTCTCATACAAATTGGTAAAAAAGAAGTTTATCCTCATACAAGTTGGTAAAAATAATTCTTACTTTTATATCTCAGTGTAATTCTATAAATACCAGGCTCCGTGCAAAGTACAATAAAGTTGATATTTTGCTTTCTATCATAACAAAGTATAAAAAGATAGCGTTAATTTTTAGTATAATAAAAACTTTAAAACAAAAAATAAAATCCTCTTATATATATATATATATATACATATATATATATATATATATATATATATATATATATATATATATATATGCACACGCACACACACATTTTAGCGAATTTAAGTTGGCACTGTCCTAATATTTTTTTATTTTATTTTTTTGTTATTTAGAAAAGAAGACCTAACAGTCTTATCACAGAGCACCGCGGAAGTGCATTTAACCAGGAAGTTTACGCCTCCTTCCTTACAGTGACGCAAAAATATGTCCAGAGATGGTTTCGAACCTGGATCTCCTGCTTATTAAGCAAGCGCTTTAACCACTGCGCCACAGCCGCACTAAATATATATATTTATATATATTTGCATATATACACGCACACCCACACACAAACATGCACATATACAATTAATTTATATAAATATATTTTATTAAATATGACACAAATTACCTTTTGGCAGAGATAGATCGGCTTTCCAGGATAACCCCTTCTTTTTCAAGTTGAGTAAAAGAAAACTCTAATGGACCTAAATTTAATTTGCCTTTATTTCCATTAGTTATTTCTCCATCCTATAAATAATTTCAAACATAATTTATAAATATAATTTTAATTTATAAAAGCATTGTAAAAAAACCTCAAATTTATCCTCACCCTATGAGCAGCTTTGTTTCTTACAGCACTCAGATATTCTAAATAATTTTGTTAACAAATCCAAATTAAATCCACATAAACTACTTGAATTTACTTATCAACTTAACTTTAGTTTATGAATTTAACTTATTTGTAATTTACCTTTATATGCATCCAACTGCTGGGTTAGAAACTCCCCATGCCATTCTAATGACTAAAAAAAAAACCTTAAAAAGTTAAGCTCAATTAAAAAAATTAATTCAATATAATGCATAACAACAATAACAAAAAAAAAAACATCTATATAACTGTGAATTATCATACTTCTTTAACATTTTTAAGTCCCTTCAGTTCTCTTAACATACGATCTGAATGATGCTCTTGCTTTAAAACAAACTATAGTTAAAAATAGTTTTAAATAAGTATAGTATATAAAATTTTATTGTTTTGTTTAATAATATATTTAACTAATAGTATAATTGTTTTTATTATTTTTACATTTTAATTATTTTTTATGATTCTTTTTTTATTTTTATTCTTTTATTCAAATGAAATTGTCAAAAAACAAAATATTGATCAAATTTAACAATTAACTTTATTTATTTCTATTATTTATTAAATACTTATATTTTTGTTTCATTTATTCCATATAGTATCTTAACCACAACTAAAAATTGTTTACTTCTTTTACACTTCTTAAAAGATCTTCTTCGCAATACAATTTGTCATTGTCTTGAAGTTCACTCAAACATGTCATGGCAAAGCTTGCAAGCCTTATTACTTCTTCATTATCGGTTGCTAATCCACGAGAAATTACATCACGCATATTAAGTTCTTTCATAAGATATGGAGCCTAAACTCAACAATATATAAATACATAAATGTATGTACGTATCCATGTATGAATGTATGTATACAAATTTAAAAATTGCACACTTAGATCAACAATATGATATACTAATTTAGAGAGCTGTGAAAGCTTCAGTACATACATTGACAGATGTAGAAAGAAATGCAAAGAAACGGTTGCTACATTCACTAAGGGAACACTCATACCTTAGTATGGGAACACTTATACCTTAATAATATTTAGAGAACACTTATTTAACTACCATAGCAACTACCATCTAGTACCATGTTTTTGCCATTATTTTGGTTATATATCTATGTGGTGGTAGATCTCAATCAAGAGGTTCAAGATTTAATTCCCACTATGTGCCCCTGGAGGTACTGCGGTTAAGCTGCTACTTTGTGTAGCTACTTTGTTAGGCAAAAGATTTGTGCTGCAGAGTTTAGATTGAACGTTTTAAACAATAAAAAAGAAAAAAAAGTGAAAAATGAGTAATCTCTTTGACTATAGTGGCCACTTCTGAAGCCTTGGGAAGGTAAATTTAATTACAATATATATATATATATATATATATATATATATATATATATATATATATATATATATATATATATATAAATATATATATACACACACACTATTTATCAACTTATAAATCTATATAAGAATACCTTAGTAAGCAACTTTATGAGCAAAGTACGACACTGTTTGCGAAGATTTTTAATTCCATTATCGATAGCTCCATCAGGATCAATCATTTCATCTCTAAAACTTAATGAAACATCCCATCTACTCAAAAGTGCTACATCAACAGTAACATCATCAAGACATTCAGATGACATGGGTTCACCAAGCTCATGTAAAAGCACTGTGAGATTGTCATTATCATCATTGATCTACAAATAACATTAAAATAATTTACCATTAACAATTGTTAAACTACAGAAAAAGTACCTAAAAAAACTATATTCCTATTGTTTAACTTATTTGTTTAAATTGACTGTTTGTTATGTATGAGATATACTTATCAAATGTTTAAATTCACTCTAAATATTTTTGCTATTATATATAATTTGAAATTACAATGGTTAAAGTTCTTGAAATAATATATTTATCACTTAAAGTATTAATATATTTATCATTGAAAAAATTGACAATATACTTTTATATGTACTGTAAAAATTTGCTGTAGTTTGATAAAAAATGCCAAAATTTAAAAAAAAAAGGAATTTTTTTACATCTTAATGTTGTATACAAATAATAAAATGATGTGTAGATAACACTTGTACCAACCATATGTACATACAAATAATTAATGATATGATGGGCAAATAGCGCTGGTATCAACCATACATATGTACAAAAAATGAACTATACATATATACAAAAAAATAATTATTTATTAAACATGTTAAAGTATTATGACACAAAAAGCAATTTAAAAATTAAACAATGACATCTTTTTACCAAACTGCGACAGAGACTAAAAACAATCCATTTATACATACCAGAAAATCTTGGTACTTGCACAGCAGTTCATGCAACCTATGCATTTCTTTAAGTGTAATACTAATTGACATATCTTTAGGTAACGATAAATATTGTTCTATTTCAAGATAAGAATGAAAATCATCAACATCACACAAATTATGTAAAAACTTCTGTAGTTTTTCTTGACGAGAGGTTACAAAATATTGGAGTGGTTTCATGTAAACTTCTTTTAACACCTGTGAAGCTCCTTTATTGCTGATGGCCTGCAAAAGTTTTGCAATCTAAAAAATAAATTATTTTTTGTATTATCTCTCAACTAGTCAAAATTTTAATTGTAAACTTTATAAGTAACTTTAAAATTTAATACCAGAATGAAATTGCGTCTCATAGCAGGTCGAGGTTGAGAATTCAATAACATATAGTCTAAAGAATAACAATAGCAAATAGTATAAACAATAGATTAAAGAAAGATTTAAACGACACAATTTTTTATAACAACAATATCCTGATATAATTATAAAATAGCTTACTATGCGGTGATACTATAGCTGGATTTATGAATCGTAATAAAAAAAAACCGCCAATCAGACCAGCAATCTGTTCAATTGGTATGTGAGGAAAACGCTCCTTTAAAAAGTATTAGTATATAAAAAATTTTAAATTTAAAACTTTTTGCATTGCTATTGCAATATAAAATAAGACCAAAAAAAAAAAAAAAAATTTACTCTGCAGAGTTGATAAATAGCTTTGCATAACCAACGTATACCATAAGGTACATAATCTAATGATGCCACAATTGCTTCAAAAAATTGTTCTGTGATATCTTCTAAACCTTTTAAGCGGTACTTAATAACTTTGGCAACTTTTGGATCTCGTAAAGCTCTTTCCATTGTGATGTTATTTTGTTCATTATCAATGATCTGGTAAATAGCAGTATATACTTTAACAGGATTGACTTCTAGATTCAAATCAATGTTTGAGTTAACATCAACAACAATATCTTGTAAAGTCTCTTTTAGATATTCTTGACCAGGTCCACGTCTAAAATTAAAAAAAGTTATAAAAAAATAAAATATATCAACGGTTTACATAAACACTTTAACACCAAAACAGTGTTGACACTAAACCATTAACAACCTAACAGGGTTGACACAACATCATTAAACACCATAACAGGGTTGACACAACATCATTAAACATCATAACAGGGTTGACACAACATCATTAAACACCACAAAAGGGTTGCAACACAATATCATTAAACACCACAACAGGGTTGCAACACAATATCATTAAACACCACAACAGGGTTGCAAAAAATATCATTAAATGCCATAACAGGGTTGACACAATACCGTTAAACACCATAACAGTGTTAACAAAACGCCATTAAACACCATAACAGTGTTGACACAACACCATTATAACTAATAGTTAGAACAATCAACAAAAATCAAAATATAAAAAAAAGGTAATAAAAAGGAAATTAATATATTTTTAATACCTTGTGTATGTTGTCATCATACGAGAAATTGCTGTATTTGCACGCATTAAACTTCCGAATTCATCTGTTTCATCAAACTCCATTTTAATGGCTAACTGAAGTTGGGATATTGAAAATATTAAATAAGATATAATACTACATGTAAAATCTTTAAAAAAAAACATAGTTTAGATTTGTTTTTAAACCCTCAAAATCAATAAAAAAATTTTAATTTATTATTATTATTAATTTTAAAATTTTTAAACTTTCGATCGGAAATGTCTTTAACAATGTAAAAAAAAAAACATCTTTAAATTAAATAAAAGGTTAGATTAAAGGTTTTTAAAATAAAGTTTATTATGTTCAAGAAATAAAAACAAAAAAAATAACAAAAAAATCATTTATGAGATAACTCACAAATGATGTTAATAAAGTAACAGTCAAAAAGAAAATTTTATTAATATCTAATACCATGCATACACTAGAAATAAAACTTGTTTTATTTTGAACTAGATAATATCTAATACCATGCATATACTGGAAATAAAACTTGTTTTATTTTGAACTAATTAATATCTAATAGCATGCATACACTGGAAATAAAACACATTTTATTTTGAACACAGTATAAAATTGTAAAAAACTATGTCATCATAAAATATAAACAGTATCAACTGCATAAAATAATATTTAAACGATTAATTATTTATATAATATTTCAAAAATTCCAAAAAATTCACTATTAATTAAAACTTACTATTAATAAAAAACTAAAAACAAAATGAAAAATTGAAAAAAATTAAACCTCAAACATTTTCAGCAAAAGATGCTCTTCTCGAGCTTCATATTGGTTTCCATATAAACTAAACAAAACAATCTGAAGCAATTCTAAAGAAGAAGTTAAACACTTACAGATTAAAACCGATCTATAGTAAAGAACAACAACATATCATCAATACAACTTACCATCTATTTCTGTAGGAGCAACAGATCGTGTTAGCTTGGCAAGATATCTTGGATCAGTTTGTAACAAAAAAAATAAATTGCCAAAAATCTAAAAAAAAACTAAATTGAAAAAACGCAAAAAGAAAAAAAAAAACACAAAAAAAAATTTTGTACAAAAATAACCTAGAAAAAAATAATTAAATACCCTATTTTTCAAGTCATCTTTCAACGCTCCTAGTCTATGTTCTCCATATGATATGTTATCAGGAAATTCCTTTTTAAATAATAAAAAATCAAAAACATAAGAAAAATTCGAAATTAAAAAAATATTTCAAAAACACTCATATTAACTTTTATTTTAAAAATCACTTACATCAACTGTAATTTTATGATTAATAAGAAGGGCAATCCTTTGGTCGAAAAAGCGAACTTCTTTTTCAAGTTCAAAATTTTTTTTGCATTGTTTGCAAATATCAACCTTTAAAATTTGGAGTTGTTGTTGCACTAAAAAAATTTAAAAACAAACCTTTTTTTAATTACAAACCTTTTTTTAATTACAATTTGAGCAATCATTTTAAAAAATATTCAAATTATTAATGAGTTTTTTTTTTAAATCTTTTTTTTAACAATTGTACCAGAAATTTTTTTTACACTTACCAGCAGACACATACTGCTAAGACTCTACCCGCAAACAATATTGCAACAGTTTACATACTTATCAGTATAACAACAGTATTTATTTTGACAAAAATAATTTAAGAACAGCAATAAACATTTATTGCTTTCAGAGATTGGTTGGTACTGTTATACTTTTAGTATTTCAATATAGCTTTGACATTTTAAATGCCGTATTTATTCCTAACTGTTTTTCGGACAAAGAAAAAAAAAGTAATATGAAAAAGATAAACAAACAAAAAAACAAGCAAGTTTGCTGAAATAAATATCAACACTCGGCAAAATTTCTTTAATACAAAGGTTAAGAACTTTGTATTAAATAATTTTTGCTGACCTGGTACTGACTAAAAGATTAAGGTTGGCAAATTATTGCTGACCTCATTTTTCCTAATTCCGAGGGTTGATATATATATATATATATATATATATATATATATATATATATATATATATATATATATATATATATATATATATATATATATATTTATATATAAAATCAAATATCAATGTGGATTTAGCTGTGTATAAAACATCACTAATGATGTCATACTGTAACATTCGTTTGCCATATGTCATACTGTAACATTGGTTGCCATATGTAACATTCGTAACACACTGTAATATTCGTTTGCCATATGTCATACTGTAACATTAGTTTTATTATTCGATTACCATAAAACATAGAAACGAGGTTGGCATTTTTTTGGCAGTTAGGTGGATATTGCTAAATGCCGACCCTAATTCCAAGGGTTGATATATATATATATATACATATATATACACTATAATGGCACTGCTCTAAAGAGCTAGTGTCTCTTGTGCTATCTACTAAAATTCATTCTCGTGTTACTTGTCATTCAATCAAGTCTCATCCTTTTTCTGTGACTGTTCCTAAATGCTCTAAAAACTCTTATTCCTCTAGTTTTTTTCCTCAAACATCAGTTCTTTGAAATTCGCTTCCTTCATCTTTCCTGATTCATATAATTTGCAATCTTTTAAGTCGTCTGTCAATTGTTATCATGCTCTACAATCTTTATCTTTTCTCTTCCAGTAACTTCTAACTCTAATAGTGGTTGCTTACAGTCTTGTTGGAAGCGAAGGTGTTAAAATCCATCTAAATATCCTTTTCAAATATATTTGATAAATTAGATGTCTAGATGTATCCACTACCCTTTCAGATAATTGTTCTCTGCCTTTTGTAAAAAATGAGATTAAAGTGTTACTAAATATTTAATTGATGCATAGCAAGCAATTGTGCACACATACAAAAACTGTTATGTTTTATACCCTTTTTGTTTTGCTCACGCAACATTTAAAATTTCATTTGATATTAATGTAATATTTATTTAGAAAGCATAACTTTATGATTATGGCAATATTATGGTATTTTAATTACAATTGCTAATTAAAATTAAAATAACTTTTTGCAACAAAATAGCAAAAAATTACTTTTTTTCACTTACATTTTCCACCAGGAGCCAGGAGATAAAAACTTGCTTTAAAACTAATATATTTGAAATCATATTTAATGGCATGTTATTTTTATATTTTATAGCATGTTATATTTATAACGTTGGTTTTTTAACATCTTTGCTTCCAACAACGCTGCAAGCAACCACTAATTAGTGTTGGAAGTTACTGGAAGAGAAAAGATGAAGATTGTAGAGCAAGATAACGATTGACAGACGACTTAAAAGATTGCAAATTATATGAATCAGGAAAGCAAGATGAAGGAAGCAAATTCCAAAAAACTGATGTTCGAGGAAAAAAACTAGACGAATAAGAGTTTTTGGAGCACTTAGGAACAGTAACAGAAAAAGGATGAGACTTAATTGAATGACGAGTAACACGAGAATGAATTTTAGTAGATGGCACAAGAGACGCTAGCTCTTTAGAGCAGTGCCCATTATAGTATTTGTAGAAAAGAGAAAGAGAAGCAACATTACAACAATGTGACAGAGGTTGAAGATTGGCTGCAAGAACAGGTCCAACTATGTTTACAATGCGTTTTTGCACCTTATCTAAAAGGGAAAGGGCATCATTAGAAGATCTGCCCCAGATATGGCAACAGTATTCCATACAAGGTTGGATTTGAGATTTATAGAGATAGAGAATAGAATCCAGAGTAAGAAAGTGTCGAGCTCGATAAAGAGATGCAACTTTAGCAGATATTTATTTTGCAATGGATTTGATATAAGGTTACCAAGAAAGATCAGAAGTGAGAGTTAATCCTAGAAGATAAAAGGTAGATGACTCATCGAGTACATTACCGTTCATAAATATAGGAAGGTCTAAATTATTGCGATAACTATTGGCTGAAAAAAATTGAGTTTTATCTGAATTAAAGTTAACCAGCCACTGTGAGCCCCATGCTGTAGCAGAAGTGAGATTTTTTTCAAGCTCAAATGCCCCCTGCAAGCAATCAGAGGGAGTTGGCTTCTTATTGTAACAAGAATAAATGGTAGTATGATCAGTGAACAATGCCACCTTAGATGTGAGAATATCCGGAAGATCGTTAATGTAAACTAAAAAGAGTATAGGGCCAAGGATTGAACCCCTGAGGTTAAAGAATAAGAAGAAGAGTGCTGTCCATCAAGGACAACTTTTATACTACGATTGGAAAGGAAGGATTCAATAATCTTAAAGATGTTTCCAGATACACCGTAAGAAGAAATCTTATAGAGAAGACCAGCATGCCAAACTTTATCAAACACTTTAGAAATGTCAAGAGCAATGGCCTTAACCTCTCCACCTTTATCTAATGCACAATAAAACCTATCGGTCATTACTGTTAGCAAACAAGCCGTAGAACGAGAAGATCGAAATCCATATTGATGATCATAAAGTAGGTTATGAGATTCAAGATGAGAGATTAAGTGTTTGTTAATTAAAGATTCAAAAAGCTTGCTTATGATAGGAAGAAGACTAATGGGACGGTAGTTAGATGAATCGGATTAGATGAATCACTTAATTCCTAAAACGTATGTTTAATATTATTCTTTTAGATTTTAATAAAGCCAGGTAAAGTTAAGTTATTAAAACAGAACTGCAATAAAATAAATTCCAAAACAAAGTAAAACCAAATAAACTTCACAGATTGTAACTGAGCAGAATGTAAACACTGATCAAAGCACAATTTAAAAATAATAAGAAACAAGAATTTTAGTATAATACTCATAATAGATAATTTCAAATGAAAGTACTATGAAATCAAAAAGATAAAACTTAAGTAAAATTTTCCAAAATATAAAAAGTTTTATAAAAATACAAACTTAGTATGTATTTTCATTAAAATGCTTAAAAGTAGTGTCTTGTTTCTTGACTTATGATGATTTTTGTTTCACCACCACCACCACCACCACCACCACCACCACCACCACCACCACCACTAACAACAACAACAACAGCAACAAATCAATAAAAAACTACACCATAAATCAAAGAGAAATACTTCCACATTCCACTGTGAAACACTCTTGTTTTAAATATCAATTGAGTTTGCACGCCAATAATTTTTTATATAAAATGACATATGATATACAGCTTCCTTTACATTTTATTTATAAAGAAGATAGACCATCCAATTTGTTGATCTGAACAAATGACAATATTATTTGCGATGATATTAGTGTTAATAAAATTATTATGTGGCAAGCAAGTTTAAAAGAATGTACACATTTTAGCAATCACCTGCTACACTTTCTATAAAACAAGTTGTAGATACATTTTAAATAGTTTTATACCAAGCATAGAAACGAGGTTGGCATTATATATTTATACCAAGCATAAATATATATGGAAAACTTTTAGGGTCGTTAATGTAAATTTCAAAATTCAACTTGTTGTATTTTCTTACTTGTTCCAAAAAGTAAATAATATGTAGGTTATTCCTGTTCTTTGTCTTTTTTTTTTTTAAACTGATTATTTCTCAACATTTAAAAAAAAAAGCAGAATATATTAGTACTGTGCCAACTTAAAACCACAAGAAAAAACAACTATATATATTTATTTTTGCATATTAGATTATTATTACGCATAATAATTAATACAGTGGCAGTAAATAAATATTATTATACAAAAAGTAAAGTAAATAAATAAATAATAAAAGAAATAAATTTATCAAAAAAGTTTACTAAAGAAGGATGTCAAAAAGAGAATGACTAAAAATTCTATTTTAAATAAATTTAAAGTTTAAAAAAAATTCAATTCATAATTGAATAAAACATACTAGTTTCAATTAAATAACTTACTATTTTCAAACAATTGTATAGTGTTTTTGTGTTGCTTCTTTTTTTCGTTTGGCAGGCTAAGCAGATGTTGTGCTGACAAACATTCCATATTCAGATCAGCTATTAATGCAGGCATCAATAATATCAATTTCTCTCTTGAACAACAATGTTTTTTTATACTATATTATTTTTACTTC